GAGCCGATGGGGGAGCATCCTGCACCGCTGAGCCCCGGTCTGTAAGTAGTGCTGCAGAAAATCGTGTTCTGTTGCGTTTAGCAGCTACAGTCGATGTTGTTCCTAAAGCATCTGAGGTAACGTTGCGCCAGGACCACCGCTGGGATGGAGAAGTTATGTTGTGACTGTTCACATGGGAACAGTCACACAGTACAAGTATCTTGTCTTCTGTTATCTGCTGATACAGATATCAGATGGGAGCAGGCCTGTCTGACAGACAGTGCTGTAACAGGGTTGGTGCTGTTATACGTAACCAGAACTGCCCAAAGTGTGATGGAGAGATAAGAATACATTTAAACTGAGAGCAATAAATCTAAAAATAATAACGGAACATTAATATCTGGAGTGTCCTGTGTGTGATCCATTCCTCCGCCACAACCTCATCTCTGTATGCACTTTTGCTACCAGGCAAAGGCATGGATTTCTGTTCGATGATTGTGATAAGGAGCAGTTTGTCTTTATGACAGTGCGATTAAACAGTTGGTGTTTCTTATATACTCCACTTCCCTGCTTCTCTTTTGTCCCTCTGTTCCATTCTTTCACTTTTTCACTTTTCACTTTTCATCTCTTCATTTCCTCTTCCATCTTCCTCTGCTTTGCCTCTTCTTCTTCTTCCCTTTCACTTTCTCCTCTTCGCATTTCTTTTCCCCACTTCTGTTCTTCAGTCTCTCTTAGTTCTCCTCCCCCCACCATTCCACCTTGTTTCCTTTCCTCATTTCCCCTCCTTTTCTCCTGTCTTTTTTGATTTCTTCATAGATCCTCTCTGTCTCTGTGACTTGTTGGTTTGTTTTCCTCTCCTCCCCTTTTTTCTTTTCTTGCCACCTCTTCTTTCGTTTCATCCTCATCTCTCCTCCCCTCGCTTTCCGCCCTCACTTCACCTCTTTGTTTTTCCCTTTCTTTCTCCCTACTGTATGTCCTCTCCTGTCGTCTTTCTTCTCATCCATCCTCCTTCCTTTCTTCTAATTTTACTACAACTTAATTTTTTGGGTCTTTTCTCCTTTTTCCCGGTTATTCCCCTTTTCTTCTATTCTTCTAATTATCTACTTTCTCTTCCTGTAAGGTCTCTTCCCACCTCTTCTTTGACGACTTGCTCCTTTCCTCTTTGTTTTCCCTCTCTAACACATCATAAATATTAATGTCACACCATCCCTAAGCTCACTGCCGTATTATTTCATTACTAGCAAAAAGCTGCTCTATGAGCACTTTTTTGCCAGGCCTGTGGCATTTAAGGGACACAGCACATGCACCGATTTCTTTGGTCAATAATTTAAGATTCCAGTTGTAAAACCTTAAATTGTACCCTACTCAGTTCACATCTAAATTTATCTGCAGGCTGATCATTAAACCACAGATTGTTGCATTTATAGTAATTTGCTTATATTTTAAATAAATATCTCTGTATAAATCTCTATATCTCTATTTTGTTTTCATGTCATTTAGCAGTACTTGTCACAGGGTTCACTCAGTCCCGATGGTCATCAAAAAATGTCTTGAGCTTTACCTCAATGAACTATTAAGCTGCTCTATATGTCCGTGATATTAAAGGACTTTATGTCTCATTCTTCATTCCATATTTAGCAGTGAGTTGAAAGAAATTCCCTCGCAGATACACATGTATGTGAGACTTCAGTATGGTTTGTCCACCCGTCGCTTGGCAAATTCAGTATCATGAGACCAAGACGAGGAAATGCTCAACCTGCTTCCTGTGGTGAAACAGTGAATGGACTAACAGTCAACCCGCTTTCACCTGCAGGTCATCACATACTGACGTTTGGTCAGGAGCACATGTGTGGATGTGCGGATTCACATTATGACCCGCTGGATGTTTTCTTCTGAAACATGCAGGGCAGGCAGAATTTTATAGGAGTTCTTTAATGTCTGAAATGGAAGGCGTGAAGTTTTTGGCAAAAGATGGTGTTGTCATGATGAGTCTAACCATGATCGCCAAAGAAACCTTCTGCAGATAGACAACATGTGCCATATTTGAACCTAAACTTTTTCATTTTAGTTTTTTTATTTAACGTCGAGTCAAAACAGAAAAAACTGGTCCCAGTCTGCCTTGAGGTGACTGTTGTTGTGATTTGGCGCTATATAAATAAAATTGAATTGAATTGAATAGATAGCACTGAAACACCTGCCTTCTGCCTGCCTCCCAACGTGCACTTTTTAAAGGTTTTTGTTCATAAACACATTGGTACAGGGGGGTATTGTGTGTTAAAAGATGACGAGAAGGGGCTCTGGACCATGGTTGTCCTACTTTTGTCTCCTTGTCTGTAAGTTTGCATTTGTTGCTGTTTTTTATATCACGTGCTCTTCCAGGCTTTCAAAATTAAATCACAGTGTCTTTATATTATGATTGTAGTCATTTAACTCAATGTAGTTTTTAATTATGTGTAATTTGGCTGGTCTTCTTCAGCTCTAATAAATGCCTGTAGCCTAGTACATGTTATCCCATATGGAAAAGATGTATATAAGTCTTATAAAGTTTGTATCTGTCTTGTGTTAAACTTGTATGAAAAGCATACAAGAGGGAAAACAGATATAAGATCCCTAGAAAAATTATATAAATGAAACTTGTATGTTTTGGATACTTACTAAAACAATATACGAAAGTGGCCACTTTCATGAGTAAATCATATAAGCCTTCACTATATGAAGTAGGCCATCTTATGCAAGCCTTTTATAAGTTTTTACTAAGTTTGTCTTTTATCCTGTCTTCCTTCTCTCACCCCAACCGGTCGCAGCAGATGGCCCCGCCCCTCCCTGAGCCTGGTTCTGCCGGAGGTTTCTTCCTGTTAAAAGGGAGTTTTTCCTTCCCACTGTTGCCAAAGTGCTTGCTCATAGGGGGTCATGTGACTGTTGGGTTTTTCTCTGTATCTATGAAGCGCCTTGAGGCGACTTATGTTGTGATTTGGCGCTATATAAATAAAATTGAATTGAATTGAATTGAATACGTTTTTACTATTTCTTTTCCATATGGGAATGCCGAGTAGTGTTTGGAAGTGAAACATAAAGAAGTACATCCTCTGTCCTCACCTTATTCATCAGCTCTTCTCCTCTTTGGTCTGTTTCCCCTCTATTTGCTCTCTCCTCAATCTCCACAGTGTGAAATCCAATTAATCAGCATACTGTAATGCCTTTGATAAAACCAATACTCTTCCCCTCTCTTTCTCATATCGATTCGAAGAGTTTCTTGTGTTGGCAAAGCAGCCTGAAACAAAAGCACACACACAAAAAAAGTTGACTGCACCAAAACACAGAGAGTGTGGAGAGTGGCTGATATCGACTGAACTTAATGCAACAACTGTCTCCTTCATACTGTGGTTTCAGTTCATTTCTCCTCCCCTTTATTTATTATTTATCCAGTAAAACAATCATTCTTTTGTAATTTCTTATTGTATCTTTCTGTCCTTTAACTTTTTGCGTTTGCAGTGATCCACAGTGTGTGGAATTACTGTGGAAGGCTTAAACCTAGTGGATCAAAGCAGTAGTATTCTGTGGATTTATGATTTTTCCATAACATTTGTTTTTGTTTTCTTTTGTTTTTTTTACAGATGCAGCAGGATCTTTATTTCATTCTGTTTTTTTGCCACATTAAACATTACAGCGATCAGACATAACATTATGACCACTGACATGGGAAGTGAATAACACTGATTATGTCTTCATCATGCCACCTGTTAGTGGGTGGGATATATCAGGGATCAAGTGAGTATTTTCTCCTCAAAGTTGATGTTAGAAGCAGGGAAAATGGGAAAGTGTGAGGATTTGAGTGAGTTTAACAAGGTTCAAACTGTGATGGCCAGATGACTGGGCCAGCTTTGGGCATCTCCAAATCTCCAGCTCTTGTGGGATGTTCCCAGTCTGCAGTGGTCAGAACAGGGGTGAACCATTAACAGGGTCATGAAAGCTAAGGCTCACTGATGCACATGGGGAGTGAAGGCCGGCTGTGAGGTCCGCTCCAACAGACGAGCTACTGTAGCTCAAATTATAGAAAAAGTTACGGCTGGTTCTGGTAGAAAGGTGTCAGAATACACAGAACATCACAGTTTGTTGTGCATGGGGCAGCAGAGTTGCAGACCAGTCAGGGTGGCCATGCTGACCCCTGTCCAAAAGCAAACACAATGTGCACATGAGACCTGGACAACAGAGCAATGGAAGAAAGTGATCAATCATTTTTTTTTTCTTCACATGGATGGCTGGGTGCATTTGTGTCCCTGACCTGGGGAACACCTGGCAGCAGGATGCTCTTCTGCATGAGGACTAAACCAGCAGAGGCAGTGTTATACTTTGAGTATTAGCCAGTTAGATTAACCAGCCTCAAGTGGTTGTTAGAGAAACTACAGTTTATGGCAGCGGTGTTGCTGCAAAGCAGTTCTTTTTTACTTAGCTTTACAAAACAAGTCTTCTTGGTTAAGTTTATGAAAAGCTAACGGTTTAGATTAAAATATGCATGCTGGACTCTTTCTTGGTTTTTAATGTGGGTAGAACCGCAAACTTGTACTTTACCTCCCAGTCCACAGAGTGGGATGAGTGCACATTTAATAAATTAACCTTCATAATGACGCTGTGGATGCTAGCATTAAAAAAAAGTTATACTCTTGTTCTAATTAGTAAATTGGTGACACATAAATCCACAGCTCAAACCATTGCTTTGTTTAGCATTACAGAGACGCGCATTGTTGCTGAGGATGGTGAAATAGAAAGTAAAACATGTCCTCACAAACTAAAACGGTAAAGAGCTCGATTACGACACAGTAAGGAGTAAAATACGCTTGGACTGAAGTGAAAAAAACACCAGTGAAATTCAAGAGAGCTTGGGTGACATTTGACACATCCTTTCCTTCAAGTGTATTAGCACATTTGGTTTTTGAAATGTATCCTGAGATGGTAACTTATAACGTGGCCTCCTTTCAAAAATGCAGAAGTCTTCATGCTTCTGTTTGATTTTATTTTTGCAGAGGTATCCAGCAGCAGTTATCCAGCTACAGAGAGACTGTGATCCGACAGGCCACGGCAGCGGCAGGCTCGGCCGTTCACCGCGACGACGCGCCGACCTGTGGCATCTGCCACAAGACCAAGTTCGCAGATGGCTGTGGGAACCCGTGCTCGTACTGCCAGACCAAGTTCTGCGCTCGCTGTGGGGGGCGTGTGTCCCTGCGATCCAACACGGTGAGGGAAGGCTACACTTTCTCAGCACAAAAACACATATTTTTATCCTTGTGAAGTAGCACACAGCAATATAGCAAATATTAAACCTGCCCTCACAAAAGTGTGATGCAGTATCCTCCACACGTTTCAGTGTGAAGGGCAAAAAGAATGGAGGACAAAAGATAATACTTTGATCGTTATTAAAGGTTGAATTGAAACTCATTCTCCTAAACAGCACTATGCATCAGTTCCCGGACAGAGCTGCAGCTGTCTGGAAGAAATACAGCACTGTCACATTTGAAGAGTTTGGATATTAAAAAGTATCACAAGTATAATATCGAGTGATGTACACGCTCTTTAATTTGTATATCTTCAATATGCATTCTTTTCTGTATTGTAAAAAAGAACATGATCACAATCCTACAACCCAAACTGCTTTATACGTTAGTAAAATGAACAGTATACAGATACAATAATACAGAATTAAATAGGTTAATGTAAAAAACACAGTAATGTATATATAAACACTGAAGTATTTTCCTTTTATTAAATTTGTGTGTACACTATACTGAACTAAGAGATATGCAAAGTTTTATTCCTAGGCGTCCACTGACCCACTTTCGAGCCTTTTTTTCAGACATGGCAACGTTAGAACAGGAATATTTCAAAGATAAAAGCCTGACACTTTCACTGATCTTTGTCAACATCAAAATGAACCACAATCTGTCATTTGGGACAGATTCCCCAAAAGTATTGGCTACTAATAATATGAAAAAATAAAACTCCAGCAGTCCTGCAAAATCCCATATTTGAGCACACCTTAATACGAATATTGAAAAAGACAGTCAGTGACCATTTCTGATTGGCATATAGTTTAATGTAAAATAAAGCACGCGCAATACTTTTTAACATAAACTTCTTAGTTGCAAAAATGACTCCAGCATGAATCGACTTGTTGTATTTGCTGGATTGAGCAAGTACGACAAGTTGTGCCACTAAAGCAAAAATCAGCATGTCGTCTTGTTCAGCAGGAACAAAATACCGGAGATTCCAGATGGCGCTCTAATCACAAGTCAGAAAAGAAGTTATTTAAATATGTGGGTCACTAAAATCTCAAATCATCACATTTTTACAATAGTTTCTGCTCAGCCATCTCTGATTTGCATTAAAACTGAACGACCCAAAGTTTGGACATGTATAATGATTGCTAGGAAATTTGAGACGGTTGAGCAGCAGGAATGTTTGATTTTAGATGGACTGATGCTGTTTGTGCACAACCCACGCATGTTCGCTTTCCTGCTGAGTTTATGCTGTTATCCTCAAGATTCAAGTCTTATTTGATGCAATATGTTTTTTTTTCTAAATTATGGTAACGTTGTAAACACGAGTAAGTAATTGAAATTAAATCTACACTCAGTATACTTCCTACAAGCAGCTGGTGATAAAAGCACGCACTGAACATCACATCAGGCCTCAGGTGTTGGAACTCAGATGGAGCTGATGAGCCGTGGGTCGTACTGTATGTGCTCTCGAAATGTACTGTATCTGAGCTCTGTGTGTGTTACCATGTGTGTGTGTGTGTGTGAGAGACCTGGTAAAGGTTAATTGGGCATTAGACTGAGCAGTGGATGGGAGAGGGGGGTGTCTCTCACTCTGTCTCGCTCTGCCAGGGGTCCGGAGGTGCCCTATACACACACAGTGGGGTGTATGTGCGTGTTTGGTGATGCTGGAAGGCAAGTCTTCCTCTGAAATAAGTGACATCCCGTCTTACCCCCCAATCCCCACATCCCCTCCCCTGAATTGTCGCTGTGACATTTAATGACCTCACACACGCAAACACACAAATGCTCAAAAGTACATCCTAATTAGTTAGTGGCTAACGTGGGGAGAGTTCAGCGGGGGGTGGGGGGTGGGGCGTTACATTTAGTGGAAACTTTTTGAAAGGTACATTGACAGGTACGCACACATACACACAAGCAGACTCACAACACTGTTTATTAATGTTTGTTTGACTTTCTGTTTAATTATACTTTGTTAACTTTGCTCAGTGTGAACAGAAAACATGCGTTACGACTCAGGGAAGACATGAAATTACTCAAGAATACCGGCTTGATTTTTACCACCACTGGACATTTACTCAAATAACTAAAGGAATACAATCATTTATACAGAAGCAAATCTTTTTCAGTTTCCTTAACGAGACAGTCAAACAGAAAAATTAGTAATATTCAGTTGTTCAGTGCCCATTAAGATACAAATCTGTGTCTTTCTAAATCTACATCTTTTGGAGACACAGAATTGATGATTATTTTTCATTCAGTGATTGCCAAATCTTTGGAGAACAATTAAAAAATACACATTTTGACAGCACACAGCTCAAGTTCACCAAAGATAGTCATCACCGAAACCCAGGACAGGGTTTTAAAATAAAGTTCTGCTTTAACTGTTATAGTTTCTGTTGCAGAATCGGAGCCTTGTGTCTTTTATCATGTCTCTTTCTCTAGAGCCAGATTCATTAGCGGATTAGCTTAGGTTTGTTTAAAGGTTGTAGATTGATCACACTTAGCCTAACGCTAATTTAAGTATATGCCTACCTCTAAAACTCAATATTAAACTAAGTGTTGGTTTAATCTGTACACAAACAGTACAGTTTTGATTTTAGATGGAGTCAGCTGTGACCAGAGATTGCTACTACTTGTTGCTAATGTTTGTGGACAGTCTGTAGTCTGTTAATCACTTGGGTTGCCTCAGTGGCTTAAAGATTCATTTTAGGTTGAGAAGAAGCTGTTACATTACTATATTGTTATTGTTACTATCTAGTGAACTCGAAATGAGCTGGTAGGTAGGCCTTTGGACAGAGTAAAGAGCTTTCCTATGGCAAGCTAAGCTGTCTGCTTTAGCTCTATATGCTTTTAAACAATGAAATAGATTATGTTCATATTTGTGAACTGAGGATAGAGCGGATAGATTTTTGTATTCTTCTTTCAGCTTGAAGTTGGTTTATAGTTTTGCTTTAACCTCATTTTCATAAATCAGAAACATTCCGTTTTAATTTAGGGAGGCTATAACCATGCATGAATCTTGTCATGTGCTGTTGTAGGCCAGCAACTGTTAGGTATTTGTGTTTGTGGTGGATGTAAATGAGGAATTTTAAAGGGCAATGCATTTTCATTCATCTTCAGTGATGGGAATATTATTGGAAACTGAAATATCTGCGTATGACAGTGTTTGTGACTTGCAGGCTTGCACAGTAGGATCATTGCCATGCTTTCAGATACCATTTTTTTGTTCACATTCTTTCTGTCTTTCTTTTCATTATACATGGATGGCTGACTGGGCTGCAGGAGGACAAAGTGGTGAGTGATGCATCTTTTCTTCTCTCTTTTCTGGAGCACATAACTCTGACCAAAACCTTTAAGAAAATACATGTACATAAAACAGACCCTGTCTTCTGTCTTCACGCGTCTATTAGTTCTATTGTGAAAATATTACCTTATAAATACAGCACAATTACAATTTAATTTATGGCATGATAACGAGACTAAAACAAAACACTCATCTGCTTTGATGATATTCTTGCAGTCAAATGCACGCTGCCACCTCAGAGGTAGATGATGCACACAGACCAATACACTGTATGGACAACTTTAGATTTGCAAATGAAAACATGTGGGAGGAAGTGGCAGCAGTCCTAGGCAAACATAGGGAGATTACAAGGCCCAGAAAAGAAACATACTCATCATCTTGACATTTAAGATGTGTAATATTGTCAGTGTGGGACAGAGCTTAGTTATTATACATCTTTTTAGAAAGGGATTTAGTAGTTAACTGGAAGCATCTTCACAAGTAGTTAACAAAATCCTAATTCTTGCAAGAAATGGATATTGTGTTTACGTATTAATAGCTGGTGTGTCTGTTGTTGTTTACCTATCCTTGGTCATCTCTCATTTGTTGATTGTGACTTGTTTGCTTTGTAGCTAGCTTATGGTGTCTTTTTAAAGCAGGATTTGTCTTTTTTGGGAACACCTGTCAACATATTCAGCATATATTCACTAGCTATCTAGTAGAGCTGGGCGATAGAACGATAACGATATGTATCGCGATATAACTTTTACTCGATAGAGAAATTAAGCTATCGCGATAGACCTCGCCGCTCTTGTCCTCTTAAAATAAAAAAATAAAAAATAAAAAAGGTCAGCCAAGTAGCGCAGAGCCGAACCAATCACAGCCGCAGCGTCACGTCGCGTGACTTGTTACGTACAGCACAAGTGCCAAGCCGCACGTGTGTTTGTTTGGGAAGCAACCAGCAGGTAATGGAGGAAATGAGTGTGCCGACTAGAAAAATCAACCGAACGTGACCGAACAGAAAACAGATAATGGTTCCAACGCCGGAGAGATTGTCGAACGGAAGAGCCATAGAAGTTCCGTAGTGTGAAGGTATTTCGGCTATTTCGGCTAAAAAACAGAGTAGCGTGCACTGTAAATTGTGCCGAAAGCAAGTCTGGAAATACGATAAACTGGTGCATGCGTCACACTGTGCGCCACGTTATTGTTTCGGTGAAATGAATTTCTACAATACTGTTACTGTTAATTCTACTCTCTGCAGTGTTTAAATGCTTACATATACACACAGTTACTGTCCGTCCACACATACGACTCGGTTCTGCTTCTATGCCCCAGCTTTGTTTACTTTTTCCCACCGAGGCTTCTAGACTTCTGATTGGCCAACATTTCTGCACGGTTAGGAATCTAGCGCCACCTGCTGCTTTGGCATGTTCATAGCAGCGTTTTCCTTCATTTCTCCCTTTATGTGTGGACGGGATTATTTTTTAAAACGAAAACGGAAAATCTCCGTTTTCAAAAATACCCGTGTACGTGTGGACGTAGCCTCAGTCTCTGACTGGAAGCGCTAATTCGTCATTCGGCTTTTGTCAGACTAAAGTAACTGTTAAAACTGTTTGAAAAGCTAAGCTATACAACAAGGAGAGATTGAGAATTTCCTTTTAGTTCTCAGTTTATTTGATATTGACAAAAGTTAGTCAGTTTTGTCTGTTCTTCTGTAAAACAAACTAAGATTTATTTTTAGAATTAATATTTTGTTTCTAAGTGGAATTGACAATTTAGTCTGTTTCGTTTGTTCTATTTTGAAACTTAAACGCTTTAGCGGCTGCCTTTTGTGTAGTTTGCAATATTTGCCTTTATTTATCTGAAAAAGTCTCATGTTCCTTAAGTACATCTACCCTGTTGAACTTATTATGGGAAATAAATATTTAAATCAAAACAAGCTGCTGATTATTTCACATTTTACTTGTGAGCAACGGCACATTTAAATCTTACAAATATAGTTATTTGGCTTATATCGTGATATATATCGTTATCGCCTGAAATGAAAAAAACATATCGTGATATGAAAAAATCTCATGTCGCCCAGCTCTACTATCTAGCTATAGTACTGATTTACAATAATTTCAGAGACTGCGTCTTCAAAAAGCAAAAACTGTATCTGATTTATGTTTGTCTGTTAACCCTTTGGTGTTGTCTCCTAAGCTGTCGGGCAACCACGTTTCTAAATCTAGCTTTAATTGCCCAGTTTTTGCAAATGTTGACCTGTTGGACACTAAAACTGACCCAAAGAACCCACAACTAACTTTTGCACATGCTGAAATGGGGCAAGCATATCAAAACGTGCAGCCTAGCTTAATTAACACCTTACTGGCTGTCATATGTGGCTTGTATGTTGGGATTACTGACCCACGAGTGTTTCGGTGCATTGGTCCCTACTGTAAACTTCCTCATTGTCATTAAGCCTGGTTGTTCAACATGATACTGCATGACAGGCGTACCTGGCAGAGATGCCTTTAACATCTTCCCCTACTTGTGTAGTTGTGTGTGGGTTTAGAATTTTTCTTGGCCTTGGCTGACTGTCCTTAGGGCAGCTGCCAAACCAGCACTTTGATCTTTATTGGCTGGGCTGGATTGCCACGAGTGTCCATCAGTGCTTTGGTGTGCTGTACATAGTGGTCCCACTCCCTGCTAAAGCTTGGTACGCGAGGCACTGGCTCTAAAGAGGAAAGTTTTGGCTGAATGGAGGCCTTATGTAGCCGGATACTAGACCAGGTTTGAATTACTCTTGACATGGATTCATTTAATTACTTTAATTTTGGCTGGCACAGTGAACCAAAAGTTACTCCCTGCTTTGTCCACTCCACTCAAATATAACACTCAAAGTTAAATTGAAGCACTGGCAAGTATAATTCTTGCTGTGAGTGATATAATGATATGTATTATGTAGTATACTATAAATGTTTTTAATAGTGTTTCTAAACAGGGTCATGTTTGGTCTATGAAGTCGCACACACTTGAATTTATTTCAGTTCACAGAAAACAATAACTGGTTAGCAATTCAAGATAATGACAAAAAATCTGAAAAAACTAGAAGAGAGCAAAGGTGACAATTGGCAGTGCATATTATTATATAATGCATTTTGTACCGTTGTCATTGTTATTATTAATCTTTCATGCCATGGATGTAATACAGTTTTATATGAAATGCCCCCCCCAGCAGGAGTGGCAGGCTCGTGAGGGCTCATGACGGCCGCTCTCAGGGGCAGAAGCAGTATTAGTTGTTGGCAAATCACATGATGAAGTGCTAGTTGTTGTCATGATGGTTTCCTGAAGATGTAGGTGGCAGAATGTTTCCTTGTCCTTACCCTAGTGGAGTTTTGGTCAAACAGAAAATTGTTCATTCGATACCTTGGCTGATTGGGACCCACACCCATTTTCGCACCTTGGCTCGTGTGATTAGGCAGAGGATCCATAAGGGGTACATGACCCTCTTGGGGGACACTCCCATAGGGCTTAAAAATCTGGGACTCTCCACGATTTGACCTTAGAACTCAAGAAGCTGAAGAAGCTTCTCAGGTGAGAGGTGAAACGTCTTCAAGAAACTTCAAGAAAGAAGTCCAGACACTTTTCTTTCCAAGCTCCTTAGACTACAATGATCTGGATGACTGATGACCTTCCCAGTCCATCAGTTTAGTCAATCAGAACTACGCTATAGGGTGTAGTTTAGAATGAACTAGATCTTTCATGTTAGTTGAATTTTGCAGTTTCTTTGGACCAGGACGTGTCCTCACAATGACCTCACAAGCCCAGTGCAGTTCGTGGGAACACAAAGACCTCAATTACAGTTTAAGTGTCTGTGATTCCACGCATAAACCTTGTCTTCACACGGTGAGCATGAGGATCCATTTGGACATCTGCATGCTTGCCAATTTTTTGTGATTGTGCAAACTGAGCTGTAGAGATTTTACAATGCACCAACTGCGCATGCACCCCAGGCAGTGGACAAGTCAACAAGTATAACAGGCATGAATGCAAGTCTGCCATCTTAGATTTTAACTGGCATACATTTAAAAAGTTTTAATGTGTTTTTTTAACTACTTTCTCACTTTTTTAGTTTCTATAATTTATTTTTTTCACCATTATTTGGTATTCAGGTCTAGTAACAGGGTTTTCATTAGTAAACACAACTCATTGTATTTCTGCATAGATTTTATCAGTCTTTCTAAAACAGTTTGACATTTTTCCATTGTTTAACTACAGCATTTGCTTATTTGCTATTAAAATCATACCCAATTGATTTTGCAATCATTAAGCTAGCTAGCATACAACAATCCTTAACTTTTATGTTTTGCGCTCCTTCAAATTTGGAATTGCTAGGATGTTGAATGTCAGGCAGAAGGAAAAGAGGAAGAACACAGAGGCGTTCATGGGTGTAGTGAAGGAGGACGTTAGCGTGACAGAAGAAGATGCTAGGTATATGGTGTGATGAAGGCGCAGCCAACGGAAGGACATTAAAATATAGAATATAATTTTTGTTTCCATAACCACTCAGCAATATGACCAGAATCTAATATCCCGACATAAGACATTTATCGTCTCGACAACGATATACATCACAAAATTTTACATTTTCTGAAAATTCTCTGAATCTCGGGCAACTCGATTTGTGTGAAGTCTTTTTTTTTTTTTTAGCTGGTCGTGTACCTGAAGTCAAGTGTTTTGACCGATGCATGAAACTATACATTTTTAGACATTTTCTATGTGGGTATTTATTACATGTTGTGCTCCGGGGAAAAGCCCGCTCTAATGTTTGAATCTAGGGTCTATTTTTTAGCACCTCTTTTTTGCTTCTCATCCGTGCACACTCTGCTTACTCTTTCACGTGATTCAGTTTATTTTGAAAACTCTCAACAGGATCTTCAGCTTTATTGTGAAAGGTTTATGTGTAAATAAGCGGGCAGTGGAGCCACACGATGGTTTTACCTTCGTTGTTGCTAATGACAACGCATAA